AGTTTCTCCCTCTGATATGAGACTCACACGTCTGTTTTGGTTGTATTTACCCAGAATGCCCTTCGGTTTAGTCCACTTCCTGCTTTTGGAGCGGTTTCCTGTGCGCTTGTAGTCAAATAAACATTCAAATTCACTTTATTCAACTGAGACCGAGGTTTTTAGACAGACCCGATTAAGCTTTTTTTGGTCCACATCAGAGTTCGATTGCACGTTCACATCGACCCAAACAAACTAAACTTTCTATGCAAACAAACTTCGTTAAATCGGACTAAACAAGAGTGCTCAGTTCTCTTTCTAAAAGCGATCTGCCATGCTAAGGATTGATCTCCTTTATTGAAAGCCACCAACTCATCCACTACAGACCCTGCAAGGCCTGCAGCGCCTCAATTGATCAGACCTTCTGGAATAATTTATATCTGGAGCATAAAAACCACGCATTAGCGCTCCGATTGGAGGAGTCGCTTTGTGGAAAAGCGTATCAGTTGCTTGGAGCCGCTGCTGCTGCAGAGGGACGTATCAAAGCTCCTCACATATTGATTTTCCTCTCTATACTGTGAAAGACAAGAGGCCAGCTCAGGCTGCGATCTTATGTTTTACCTTGCAGCGCCCCAGAACCCAGAAGCATAGTGAAACCCGACGAGAGCATCAGTCTTTTTGTGGATTAATTCATCACAGCTCACAGCTGTTAAGTATTAATAAGAAAGTTCAATGCAGGGAGAGTGTCATGAGTGGCACAGGTTTGACTGCAGCGGCGTTCTTCCTCAGACGTTTGAAGGGATTTTAATCCTGACTGCAGCCGTTTTTCATCTGGAGGCTCATGTCATCCTGAGTTTAACCGCTGATGAACGTCTGCAGCAGACACGCCTAGAAACCCGTCCACACCTTGTGCACACTCGCATGTCGAAGGAGCTTATCTGGATCAGGTTTATAATGGGGCGTAATTATTTTATGTGCTGTTATTTATAAGCTGAAGGTTCTCCAGTGTTAACCAACCACAAGCCTAACGTCTTCAATGTTTCTGAGGAAATTAAGCTTATAATGGAGTAAAACGTTAAAGACCTAAACATTTCTCCAAAACACGTGTTTGCTGGTTAGAAAATTTACTACTTTCAATAACTGACATAAAGGTGGGAGATATTAATTTAAAGTTTTATCACGAAATTTGATTATTATTTGATTAATCAAAATAAAAATCAACAAATGATTCTTTAGCTGCAGATTCATCCTTTCTACAAATGATCACGCGCTCATTTTAGCCAAATAAAATTCTTATTTTCTTATATTAAAAAGGAATTTAATTATTTATTAGTAATTTAATGTATTTGTAATATTGCATAAAATAAACTTAAGTGTATAAATCAAAAATCTGCAGAATGTGGCAATTATTTATCCGTTTAATTGATTACTAGTATAATCGATAGTTGCAGCTCTAATCTAAACCGATAAAAAAGTAACATTTATTGTGATTTGTTGTAAAAAACAAAACAAATGATTATTAAGAAGCTCGAGTCAAAATGTGTAAATATTTGAGTCAATTTCAGAGATGATGACTTGTTTCTGTTTAGACTCAGATTGTTTGTAAATATTTGGATGGATGGATGGATGGATGGATGGATGGATGGATGGATGGATGGATGGATGGATGGATGGATGGATTTTTGCAGACAAACTGGATCATTTCTGTCTACAGGTCTGCTAATGCTATCTGACCCACACAGGTGCAGCTAATGAACGTTTTGAGCCAAAGTGTTTCACAGATATTTCATGTTTTAAATCTGCAGTAACGTCACTGATCAAGTTTTTTGGCTGCAAAGGCTGAACCGTTGAAACCTGTTTTACCTGTTTATTATATTTTGATGGTTCAAAAGTCCGAGAAAAAGAGAAGCTCCGTCAGATTAACACGCCGGCTCCAGACTAGAGTTACTGAAGACGAGTCGCTGTAACACTTTGCTGCGTTTCCTGAGTGTTTTATGTCGACTGTTTAAAAATAAATCTTCATATCACCTGAAAAATGTCTGATAAGGTTTAAAAATAACAGCTATAAGAAAGTGTTTGTTCAGTTGTTCAGCCTCCAGGAAGCGGGACGGTTTGTGAATGTCTTTGTGTGAAATATAGAAATATGTGCAAAGAAAACCGACCTATTTGTATTTACTATTTGCTAAAGTAAACCTCCCACTCTGAGGGTGCTAAATAAAACCTGTGATGTAATATGTTTTGTGTTGGAGTTTCACTCAGCAGCAGGTTTGTTGTGTTTGGCACAATGAGAGGAAACGGGAAGAACCAACTCACCTGGTTCTGATGAAATTCACCCAGCGGCTCATTCAAAGTCCGCCAGCAAAAGTCCAACACATTTTAACTGTTAACTTAAATGAGACAATTTTACATGTTAGAAGGTTTGAGATGGAATATAAGCAGAGAAGGAGAGAGTATCCAAAAATCTACTTCAACATATTTTTACCCAAGTAAAAGTAAAAAGTATTTGGTAAAAAGTTACTCCAGTATACTGAGTACCTGATCAAGTTATCAATCATTTAATATATAAAACTTGCATCATCAGATGGATTGAAATAAAAAGTTAAATGGAAATTTTGTTTTTCTTCAGGACAAAATGACAATAATTCATATTTGTAACAAAAAAACAAAATTTTGGGATAAAACATGTTTGTTTTTCATTCAGTGGGTAAAAAAAATCATAAATTTTACTCAAGTAAGAGCAGAGATATTTATAATAAAATTACTCAAGAAAAACTGAAAAGTACAGCTTAGGAAAAACTAAATTTTCTTTCGAGTAAATGTAGCTAGACCCCACCATCTCTGCTAATGAGGAAAATTTCATCCTGTGGGAATGTAAACAATCTAGATCCAGTTTTTCTGGATCTGTGCTGACTGATGCGCCTCAGCAGCTCAGCGGAGGAGGGGCTGATGGGAAGTGATGATGGAGCGTGACTCCAGTTCCTGACGGTCATTATTACAGGAATCACCCGCCTGGTCATCCTGCTCTCACACTGGAAGTTTCTATCGATCCGACGCTGCTGCTGCTGCTTCCCATTAGCGGTGGGGAAACGCTGCAGAGCTCAGACTGGTGGAGCTGGGAGCTCGTCTCTTCTCCAGTGTGCTGACGTCTCTGCGGTCGCAGCGAATCACATGGACTCTGGTCTTTGTGGTGTTTTGCTGACTAAGCTGTTTCCTGTTAGCTAAGTTTGTTGTGAAAATGGAAATCCTGGCTGGATGAGACAGACAGTCCCTCCAGGATGTTTGGATGATTTATTATTATTATTATTATTATTATTGATGTCTGAAATCACAGATTTTGTGGTCAAAATTGTGAATTTTTTCCCTAATGGGATCTTAAAAAAGATGAAATTGTTGAACAAAACCTTTCCAAAAACAACAGTGCATTTTTAAGGTGCAAATAATATTTAAGGTGAAATAGTACAAATAAAATCCTGTGCAAAAAAATAATTCAAGTTTTTTATTTATTTGCATCTTTAACGCATTTCTAAGATTGCATAAAAATGTTTAAGTGGCTAAATCTATGGGATGTGGGAATGTTTTTATCTGATTAATTGATTAATCGTCAGAATAATTGATTATTGAAATAACTAAGTGGCAGCGCTGCTGTTTTTATGTCTATTTTTTGTTTGCTTGTGTTCTGCTGCTCATACCTTTTATTTGTTATCATGACAGACCTGAATGTACCGAATAAACTGATTAGTGCTACGATTGTTAAATTGGAAAGTCAGGAAAGATGTAACCAAACTACAGTCATTAACTTTATCCTTTAGTACACAGCATCACTTCATTTCTTAACACTGAATAGTCAAATTATGTTAAATTTACTAACGGTGGTTCTGTGTGTGGGCAGATACGTGAGCTGCTGTAACAGCGTTTTTCTTGTTCAGGATGCGTCTCCGTTCTGTGGAGCTTCATTAGCTTTATGAATAAACGTCTCCATCGAACAGAGATGAAGCAGTTCAGGTATTAACACCAGCATTCAGGAGCTTCAGGTGCTGCTGCTCTGCAGCTGCCATCTGTTACCAAGCAGCAGGCGGGTTCAGAGGAGTCCTGCTGGCTCTCGGCCCGGTTGGACCCACTGCCAGAGCTATGCTGATACCAGCCATGTTCTCCGCCAGCGAAGAGGCTGCGGCCTGTTTATGCACAGCTGTGAGGTCCGGTTAAAAGGTCATGACCTCATGCTTAAAGCAGCAGATCAGAGTGTTTCTGTTCTGGTGCGACCTCACTGAGAGCATAATGTTCGCTGTGTTTGTACGTAAACCTTTTCACGTTCAGACACGTTGCAACTGGGGACTTTTCTCTTTGGTTTTTAAAACACAGACACAAATGTTCTTACAAAATTATGTTTTTGACTCTGCACCAGCACACCACATTAAATACACCAATAGCTTCAAAAGCAAACATGTAAAAACAACTTTAATTTGTTCCTTCAGTGCAGTTAGGAGTAAAAGAACCAATAATAATAAAAGACACTGTCGAAAATGTAAAAAATAAACTGCTACAAATCAAATGGTTCAGAAAGAGCAATTAGAAAGTTAAATATAATGTAAAATCAATAAATCATGAGCATAGAATTAGATTGAATAGATCTGCCCTTGTGATTCAGACACACTGTCATCAATACCTGATCTGGAACCTTTTTCAACATTGGGACCAATACAGATATAAATAAAAATAAAAAACATCAGGCTGTTTGTTTTGTAATACTTTATCTTTTGGTGTCTATAAAATGAGTCATTTGAAAAACCCTCCAATTATTCAAAGGGCTCATATAATTGTTAACATGTGAAGTCATGAGTATTTACTGTGATTACATTTTTATTAAAAGTGAATATTCCAATTTTCTATCCCACATAATCTTGTGTTTCCTAATCCAAGGTGTTAATTTACCAGTTAAAAGTTTAAAATCCTCAAACTCAGAGTTCATAAATGCTGTATTGTATTATTTCCGACTAGAGCAACATTTTTGCCGTGCTCCTGTGCAGGTGTCCGTACCTGGCCGTCCACCTGTCTCCTGCCATCCCAGTTTTTGCCGTGCTGCTCTTCCTGTTCGTCATAGCCATGCTGCTGAGGACGAGCTTCAGCGACCCCGGGGTCCTGCCGCGGGCCCTTCCCGAGGAGGCCAACTTCATAGAGATGGAGATCGGTCAGTAGATGCATTCGTCTCCATTCTCAGAGGGGAAAAACCATCATCTGAACCTGAACTCAGCTTAGCTAATGGAGCCAATGAATGTTTTAACTGTGTAGGAGGATCTATTATGCTAATTTCATGGTTTGCATGTTTTTATTCTTCCATTTGTGTCTCTACTGTTTCGACCCAAGCGCTTTAAAAATAACCAGCTGTTTTTTGGTCAGTTTCAAAAACCTCCCGATTGTTGCACTGCGACATCACCTAGCAACCCCACCTCCGTCACCTAGCAACCCAAGCTGAGCTCCAGCACATTTGGTCATCTTGTTTTACCGCTGTATGCGCTGTACAATGGCTGCTGGAAAAGATAAATGTTTTGTTGTTGACTTACAATCCAGAAACAACTTGCTGCTTTTTTGTTGGCTGTGTAGGAGGTTCCACTTCTGCTTTTCTTAGATGTCCATCTGTTTGCAGCCATTTTCACGTGCGAGTGCAAACGTTGAGTTGGGGGGGGCACGGCTGGCAGCAGCTTATTTGTATTTAAAGTGACAAGGAGCCTTAAAACAGCTCAAAATAGTCAGAACTGATCAGACTAAAATCTCATTATCTAAAAATGGTTTTCTTAAAAACAATGTAATGAACATGTTTTGTATGGCCCATAGAAATATCCTAAGCTGTTTAAGTGTTGGTCGTATGTCAGAAAAACACACAATGGTTTAGTCACTGCTGATTAAATGTCCACAAGTTTCCTCACAAATGTGAATAATCTGCAGCAGCTGGCTAATGAGCAACCAGATCTGCTTCCATCTCTTGGCTGATGACATTTCAAATTCAGAAAAGTTTCAGTTACTTAAAAAACTAAAATGTGGAGATTTGGAAACATCGTACGCTATTTTCCAAGAATCGACAAAAACCAAAATACTTAATCCAGGGGTGTGCTGAGAAGTCAGCTTTGCTAAACTCGGCTAAATATAGCAAGAGTTTTGAAACACAGTGACCGAAATCCAGTTCTTATTACTGAAAATACATTTATTCAATTGAACCCAAAATAAACTGAAAACTAGAAACCTTTCTTTCAAACTTGCAAAATCTAATGTGGCGTATTAGGGCCATTGTAGAAAAAAAACTCAAAGTTTGACAGTAAGAGAGACGTGTTGTCAGTAGTTCATAGAATAAAAGAACGATGTTCATTTTACTTAAACATAACATAACATAACTTAAATCAGATCATTTTCAGCTGTCTCTTAATTTTTTTCCAGAGTTTTATATAAACCCTACCAGTCAAACGTTTGGACACCACTTCCCACTGGTGAGAAGGTGTCTGACCTTTTGACAGGTTGGTAATGTTTATATATTTGCTTATGACTGTGGTTCCCGTTTGCCACAAGATAAGTAGAAAGGAGTGTAATGTCTTTGGTTTGGCAGGGCAAAACAAACACGACCAGCTGATTAGTAATGTTACAGCTGCATGTGAGACCAGAGATACAAGTCTGCTAATTATTAACTTTTAAAGGACAAATGTGCAGAAGAAAAAATGTAGGAAAAAAGCTACAAATTTACTGTAAAACTGTGAAAACAAGGAGCCATGTTTAGAAGCTTTCTCTGTGATTTCTGATTCAAATACTGAATTTGTATTTTTGCCTAATTAAAATGGCTTCATGAAAACAATTTTTACACGTGTCTTTAAAATCCATGGAGTTTGCTCTCAGTCTTTACTGACGGTATCAAACCTTTATGATCAGGCATTTAAGGGCAGCTACAGGAGTGACATCAGCATGTTTTACCTCATCTTTACCTGGGGATCTTTCTGGACAAAAATAACAAGCAGAGATGCGGGAAAAATTGTAGTGGTTAAAGCTAGAAGTATTTATGAGGAATAAATGTTTCAGATTGGTTTGTTTGGCAGCAAGCAGGCAGAACCGCGTTTATTCATGCTTCTTATGTTAGAAAGTTGTTTTTCTAGTTACTTCCTTATAGAGCTGGACAATATGTTTTAAAGAAAAACGTTTAAAAGGAAAAAGCTTTGAGTTATCAGGATGTGACGAACGTTTCATTTCAGACGATATTGATAATTATTTATTCGTTTTTTTGTTTAAACATTTCCAGTTTTCACGTCACGCCGTTGTTTTTTTTAATTTTAAGCAGTTATGAGACACAGTGGTGGAACTTTAAACTGCTGCTGTGTAAGTAACAGGTCGTTGCTAGGCAACCAAAGAGTGAGCGAGTGAGTTGCTAGGTAACCGAGGAGTGAGTGAGTGAGTTGCTAGGTAACCGAGGAGTGAGTGAGTGAGTGAGTTGACTCAAATTCAAATTCAAAAATACTTTATTGCTCCCACAGGGAAATGAAATGTTGGTTAAAGCGTTTTCCTCTGCCTACATCTCCCACAATGCTGTGCAGCTCTGAATCTGTTATTGTCCAGTCCTGATTGAAATGTGCTTAAATTTCACTGTGGGGAAACTCTGCACTCTGGCGGAGTTAAGGGAGTCGGTGTAGCGAGCGAGCTGAGGCACGCAGCCCTCTGAAGATGGGTTTGCTGCTCTCATTATGACCGTGACTCACTCTGCGTGGAGGATGGTGGTTCTGCTGTGGCCCTGATGGCCCTAATGGACCAGCTGCAGTTTGCTGCAGCAGGTTACATGAAGGATTTTACAGAAATCCTCACACTGACCCTGAAATCCCTGTTCAAGCTGCACCTGGACCAATTGCTCAGTAAATTATTTAATTCTGATACTTTTGGCTTTGGTTATCATTACACCACTGCTTTGGTTTAATTTCATTACGCTAGATAATAACTTATTAAATAGAAAACATAAAATCTTTTTCTTCTTGTGTTGCAGGTTAAAGTAGAAAAAAAAGAAAAAATGTTTGTGCACCAAAAAGAGGTGTAATCTATTACTAAAAGGATATTTCACAATTCTTGTGATAGGATTGTATTTTATTCAAACATATATATTTAGGCCCGAGCAGCTAAGCGCTGCGAGAGCCTATTGA